CAATTTTATAGAATGGGCTTGGGCTTCTCTTGACTGCCCTACATGTGGTCCAATTGGATTTGCAATACCCCTCATAGAGAAGAGAAGCACAAATGGTATCAACTAGACTTTTTTGTTTTTGGTTAGGCAGCTTCGACATTATACTAAAAATCAACTTAAAGACTATCTCATAACAACCAACACAAAGGGCCGATCAGTGTTGAAGGACAAGAGGTGGTTAGTTTCCCTTCCCCTACGTTATTGAACCCCTTGGTCTTCCATTCTTGGTTGTCCTTGGTCTTCCATTCTTGGTTGTAACCATGGATCCAATGAAGACTACTCTCGATCTTTCTTCGACCTTCGACGATGATGACAACCAGGCACCGACCGTCGGCCACCCAGCTGAGACAACTACTGTGCTGCCCTCGCCGTCGCAGGCAACTCTACATGAGTTTGGTTCAAGCCCCACTGCTCTACCACTCTCTCGTCCTTTGCCGCCCTCTTCTTAGTTGTCTCTATTAGGGGCGCAACCACCATCTCCTTCTTTTCCGCTCCCTCCACGGTCGTCGCTCGTATGGGATGAGTCTTGGCCCAGCTCGACGGTGGTTGCAAAGGCTCCTTGGCGTTTATTCGCCCCATCTCTAACAAATGTTGTGTCCATCTCTGAGCCGGAGCTTTCTCAGTCTCAACCATTTGAGTTTTCTTCCAGCTCAATAATAGTTCCGAAAGTGCAATCACCGTCTCTTCCTTTGCTGCCCTCTCCTCCGCCTTTATCCTCCACACAACTAGCGAATGCTGTGTCCCACTCTGTATCGGAGATGCCTCAGTCTCTACCACTAGAGTTACGCTCGAGCTCAACTATTCCAGTTCCGAAGGTGCAACCACCGCCTCTTGATTCGCCGCTCCCTTCTCAACTTTTACCCACCGGCACCGCGCCCACTCATTTACCACCACTGAACCCTTATCCCCATCCCATGCAACCACAAATGACAGCCGATAATCCCAATCCCGCAAATCCTAATCATCAACCGCTTCCGTTAGTACTTGCAACACCACCACCACGAGCACCATGAGTTTGGGCTATTGATAGTAGAGCCAAAGTACACTCACTTGAGTATATGGAAGCGCATAATATTACGACT